AGATGCTATTTCATAAATGATATTCAAAAGTGAAATTGGTCTCCAATTTTTGAAAGGAATGACGTGGTTGATACCTGTTGTTATACCTCATCGTTGTGAGACTGACAGCTGGCCATCTGTAAAACTGTAATTTATTGAACGAACAACAAAATTACCTAAATTTTATCCAAAAAGTCTTAAACAATTCTGAAGTAAAACCGTCTGACCCAGGACCTTTATTATTTTTCATGTCTTTCAATGTTTTCTTAGCTTCCCCCAATGTTATTTTACCCTCCAAACTCAATATTATTTAACTTTGGAACATTACAGTCACGAAGATGAAATCTAAATTAGTATTATCAACGTACCTATGTCTTTATAAATCTGCAAAAAATGATTGTACTTCTTCTAAAATATTTGTCTGCTTTGTAATATTTTCATTGTTCTGTTTCTGAATTTGCGGAATAACTTTCGATGTAAAGTTTCTGTTTCCCAAAATAGAAAAAATCAGACGTAGTTTTTTTTTTCAAACGTATACACTCTAAATCCCTTTTCTTATTTCCTAATTCTTCCTGGTCTTGGTATAACTATCTTCTAAAATTTCTATAACTTTCTTAAGGTCTTCTTTTTTTAAGTTCTGTTGCTTTTTCCTGTAAGATGCAAAACACATAGATTTGCCTCTAATTTCCATTAACAATGTTTCTAAAAATAGTTGTTCATTGATTAAAAACTGAATATCACTATTGGAAATAAGTGCTAATGAGTTAAAATTATACACCTGAAGACTATATTGTAACTTAATGTTGTCGATGCAAGGTTTACCATATCTAAATATTCATGTTGCAGTAATAAAGAATTGATCAGATTCCATAAGCCTTTCCCTTTCTTAAATTCATTAATTTTCAAAGTTTTAACTGGGACTGAATGATCTGATCTGTAACCAGGTTCAATGCATTTTCTTTTTTTACTGGATAAAAGATTGTCTGAAATTTGGAAAAAATATAATCTGTCCTGTTTTATTGGATTACTTCTCCTCCACGTAAATCTCCTACTATCCTGGCGATGCTCCCTGTATATGTCAATAAGATTATAATTTTCATTAAGTTCTAAAGCCTTGTCTCTAGCAGCAATATTGTTAATATTCCTGTATACACTATCATTATCTAACTTTGGGTCAATACTAGGTTAAAATCCCCACATTTAATCCTATTATCATTCCCAAAACTACCAATAGTATCTGAAACAAGGTTATACAAATCTGGGTTGTCTTGATTAGGGCCATAAAGAGTCATTCGTGTTGTTCTGAAACCCTCAATGGTAATATCAAGTCTTTCTTTTCTTTGTGCACTTAACTTTAAAAGAATAGCGATACCACGTGAATTTGGTTTAAAAGAACTAAAATAACGGTCATACCCCCATTCATTTCTTATGGTATTTTCCTGATCTAGTGTAAAATGGGTATCTTGCAAACAATAAATATAATACTTCTTGTCTGTTAGGTAAAGGGAAACACATGGTGAGTCCTAAAGACCAAACCGAAAATAGCGGAGACGTCAATGGTCAAATTAGAGCCACACCTATCACTAGTTTCCGAAATATATACTATATTCCCCTCGGCTAAATACAGCCGAAGGCAGCAATTAAACAGAGAGCATCGCGGACAAGGAAGGCTGATAGTCTAAATATCAGATCAAGGAGCAGATCGCTCCGAAAATTTGACAACCTAAACTTGTCCACACTGTTGGAATGACTTCTTTGCCCCATATACTATTTTAAGTAATTCGTATCCTACGGACATACCTCCATTAGGATGCAGTGTTATATGGAATTCTACCGTCTATTGTACTTCTTTGACCCATACATATATATAGATAGATATACACAAGTATGCACAAACACTATAGAACTGTCATAGTTATATATATAGTCGGATCGGTAATCTGAAATACACTGGCGTAATGTACGTACCGATCACATATTGCCTTTAGTTTATTAATATTTCCTAGACACAAAGTTAGCATCGTTCAACAGAAAATTCTCCTCGAGTGGCATTTCAAATGCAAGTCTTCATTTCCTCCGTTATTGAGTATAAGAAAAAGTGTACCATCATGACTATACGAGTTCTTCACGCAAACCATGGAATAGGCCTCCTTCAGTCTCTGTTAGTTAATGCGCGTCAAATCTTCAAAAATGATGAAGCCGGTTCTTTTCAGGTTCCTACTGGCATGTAAAATATCCTGCTTCCTTTTTCGGTGAATGAATTTTACAATGACATTTCTCGGCTTGGTTTCAGTGTATTTCCCCAGTCTATGAGCTATGTCTATATCACTCTCCTGTAGTAGAGCGTTGAGAGTATCTCTCACAAACCCTAATATCGTCTGGACAAAGTCATCCACCGATTTCCTCTCATTAGGGTCCTTTGGTCCAGCAATTCTCACAGATTTTTTCCGGCCCTGTTGCTCGAGGTCATTTTATCTCCCCGCGAACTCATGATGTCGATCTTTAGCACTCTCGATTTCCTCCTCTTGTTTCGCCATTGTTGTTTTCAAGTCCTCATGCTCGTTTTCCAGATCTTTCATACTGTCCTCCAGTGTTTCGATACGTTCATTGAATGTCAATCTTCAGCTTCTCTAGCTTCCTTACAAGAACATCCTCAGTAATAAGCGACTTCAAAATCACGGATACCTCATCAAGCCGGTCATCCGTCAATTTCAGACATCCAATACCACTGGATCTATTACTACTGACACTGGCGCTCTGTCCACGTTGAGGTTTATTACTAGCTGGCATAATGGAAAATGTTGATGAATAGTAGCAGAGAATCCCAAAAGTATCGCTTCAGTCTCCGATATAATACAAGTCCGGTATATATAGCGTAATCCCAGCTCAGTTTTGCTATTCTACTTGTAACCAAGGAATTTAATGAAACAAGCTAGTATACTATTATCACTGTTGCGCCCTTCCCTATTAACGATGATAATTTTGAAAAGTAATAAACAGTTTATACAATTACATTAATGATATTATAGTTTTTGCAATTTCTTTGTTTTTAATTAATCGAACTCCAAAAAAAATGAACATTGTGAATGGGATAACCAAACTTTTACTACTGCTTTTGCTGTTATACTAGTAGCAAAGGAACTGAAAAGCTGTTCAAAATATGGTAAGGCTTAATCACAGAACCGTATTGCGAGCTATCCCCAAACATTTAAAACGTCTGAGACATCGTAAAAGGAAACACTTTTAAACACTATGCAAAAACTTCTGATCAGTATAAACCTCTTGCATAAAAATTCATTGAAAATCAAGCACAAATCAGAATGCCGCACCATCTTTTTTGTTAATGTAGACAGTAAGATACGGCATGTAAAATCATTGCACGAACTGCTCGTATTGTATAACTATCAGGATGTTTCATTTATTGAATCCTCACAGAACTGGTCAGATGTGACGAAATTCGTTAGAATAACATTAATTTCGTTTGTGTACATTCCTTGAAATGAAATAACCCTCTCATATCCATCTCTCAAGTACGTTATATCATCATTAGAGAAGTAAATATGAACAAGTTGTTGAAAATATAAACAAATGGATAAATATAACATGTATCATGAGCGGAGATGTGTCATTTTTTTTCAGCTGAGAAGAGGTGTATATTTTTTAATAATGCATTAATTGTGTAAAATTGAAGAGCATGAAAACAAACATGTCTAAAACAAATTATTTCACGTTATTATTTCATTCAGAATGCTGATTTTGGAATTATGCGATTCTTTCTACTCACAGAAGGTGTGCTTTCGTCTATGCACGTTTTGATCGATGTACGTGTTATTTCGGAAAGAAAGCGCACACATTGGTAGGCTAATATCAGTATTTGTTTCATATACAGAACCTTTCAAATCTCGTCTAGCGGTATGGTTAGGTTCCATCATAGTAAACCGTTTTAAAGTGTCTCAATAATTATGTATGGTCATATTCTTGTCTTAACAACTATAAAAGTCCCTAACAACTGTAAGTAGAATACGACTTAAAAGGGGAGACAGGTCGACGTTGAAGTTCAAATAACGACATATTGCCTTTGTTTATATTCACATTTTCAGAGCGCAATATGCCGTTGATATCAATTGGATAAAACCGATATCTTTCACATTGTGACAAAGTGAGGATAAAAAAGGTCACTTTTGGCATTGTCCAATCAGAACAGCACTTTCTATCTACTAAATTAAAAGCAGCAAATTTTCTTTCCAGATAATGATAGACTCGCGTTAGAAAAAAGTTGTTCATACATTTAATGATAGCAAATCTTACAAATTGATACACAAATAGTGCATGTAGAATTATGTTGAAGTGCCCACTCAAATTTGCGCACTTCCTGTCTGTCAAGCGGGAAGTCATTAGCAAATGGTGTCGAAAATTACGCTATTACAGCTTTGATAGCGCTTTTGCTGAAGTAATATTTTTCTTGTTGTAGTTTTAATATACAGATATTTTGCAATGGTGAAAAATATTGGTAAAATGCCATGCTTGGTGTTAAATGGAACCCATTCAATATCCTCTTTTAATTATATAAGTAACAAATGAATTTAAATCAACACCAAATTTGAAAGGAGAGACTTAATAAGAAGCCATAATACCATGCGTTATACTGACATTCAGTTGTATATCTACAGAGGGAGCCTTTGCATTTCACAGCGCTACAACCAACTAAGTAAAACACGATTCAACGTAATATTCCGAGCATGTACGTTATATTTCAGCGCGTGAACGTAACCTAATAGTACGCTTAGTGGGAAAATATATATATTCTTTAGTGTTCTTTAAAATACTAGAATTCTATTAAAACGAACTAGAGATTTTATATTTTACGCCGCGGTTGGAATTATGTTTCATGATATTAGCCATCAACTAAGATAACCCGATCTCGATCAGTTACAGGTAATAGATTTTATTAGTGATTGTATTGCACAGTTTCACAACAAGACATTAACTAGTAAAACAAAACAAAGACATTATTAACAGTCAATCAATCTGTTTAATTAAACAATTATCATGCTTTATAAAAAAAACGATTCATCAAAATTCATGAGACACAAAGGTTGTTTAAAGTTTAACATTAACTGTGTTAAATATGAGAATATGTGTCAATGACCACCTATCTGCAACGTCATATGATTGATTACGCTTGTACGGTGTTTTTACGGTGATTCTATATAATTTAGATATGAACTTGTTCACCTTTATATAGTCTGTCTAAGTTTTTTGTCGTTAATGATATTTGCTTTCAGGTTTCAACATAAATAAATCAATTTCTTAACAAAGAAAGACCAAAATAATGCTGACTTCAGTTTTAAAAGGCGCAATCAAAAAGACTTGTTTCGCACAACCTGAATTGCCAACTGATTCTGTAATAGTCCTATCGAGTCAATATATTGTATGTGTATGTGTTGAGGGGTATGTGTCGTCGTTGATTTGTAGCTTGATGACTTTCTGGGATTTATTTACAAAACAAGTTGGCATTTCAGGTTATGAAAACATCAGGATGTAATAGTGCTGTATTGAAATAAAATTAGCATAGTCTACTTCTTCAAAACAAAATCGATTTATTTTTGTTGGCACGTTGAATTTGGTATAAATAGCCGAGTCATAAATGGGTTAATAAAGGCAAACATATTTTGTTAAATGTACCTTATCATAATCAATCATAAAGACTTATTAACAAATGAAGGCCATTATACGCCAAAAACATTTAGAGTTTCTTTGAATAAAATGGACAACATAACTATATTTTGAAAGCAATATGACAAACGTAATTTTGATTATCAATTATAATTTTCACTCTTTCCCTAGACAGATGTATTCACACTTCTCCCTGGGTGATATCCTTGTCTCAACGTCGAGTTGAGACAAGGGGATTCCCAAGTTATAACAATTGACATAATGTCAAGAATAAATTGACGTCAAATGAACAATGCATTAATAATCGTCATCGCGCTAACGCTCAATATTAACAATCTGCGTTGATAAATAAGTCACCTGTAACTGAGCGAGATCGGGTTACCTCATTCTTGGGTTAAAATACTGTAACATGCAAACCTTGGTTTCTACCTCGTTTGGTATTATGTTACAAAATGTTAGCCGTCAAATGAGATGAACCGATCTCGTTGAGTTACAGGTAATACATTATTTCTGCCACGTGAACAATACATTGACCCTGTAACGTCAATAGTACATGTACAACAGAAAAAACATGGTATGAGAAAAAGACCATTCACCCCCTAAGGGTGAAATTTGGGATCTCAAACCTCGGGAAAAGAGTCTTATGTTGCCAAACACTCGACAAACATCATGAATAGCAACCTGAGAAAAAAAACTCGGAGGGAGATTTTACTGTCCTTCATTCAGAGGAGGGGGTGGTGTTGATGGATTCTATAAATAACTGTTCCTATCTTCTTACGCACATGAAATATACTAACATTCCCTCACACGCTCATACACATACATTTTTATACGTATTTGACATCGAAAAAAAATTATGACCTGGGATAATTTTCCCGAATCACATACCGGTATTGTTCATTTCAGATTATTTCGACATTTAGTGTTCCATATGACACATCATTCATCCAGTACAAATTTTCATACATTTTTTTCACTCCTGTTCTTTCGTGTTTATAGACATCCACAAAAGTCTTTATAAGTCAATGTGATTTACATATGAACCTGTTGATTTTTAGATAGTAGTCTTAACATTTTTTTTATTGTTTCGTTGATAATTGATTCAAAATTTCAACATAAATAAATCAATTTCTTGACAAAGAAATACCCAAATTATTCTGACTTCACTTTTTAAAGGCACAATCAAACACAATTGTTTCGCACAACCTGAATTGACAACTTATTCTGTAAAAAAAAATCATATCGAATCGATATACTGTATTGTATGTGAATGTGGTGAGGGGTATGTGTCGCTGTTGATTTGTAGCTTGTTGACTTGCTGGGATTTATTTACAAAACAAGTTGGCATTTCAGGTTATGTAACCATCAAGATTTAATTGTGCCGAATTTAATAAAGTAAGCAAAAGTCTACTTCTTCACAAAATCGATTTCTTTTTTTTAGCACGTTTGATTAAATGTTAATTGCCGAGACATGAATAAGTTCAGGTAAAAAAATACGGTTAAATGAAACTTATCGTGATCCAGTTAATAAACACAATAACAAATGAAGGCCATCATACGCCAATACACATATATAAGCTAAAATACGAATTGACGTTGCATCAACAATGTATCCATTAACATCACAATGAATTGGCCATGTAACGTCAATATTGCATATAAAACAGAACTAGCAGCGTAAGAGAAAAAAAACAATCACCCTCATAAAGGTAACGATAAGATTCTCAACATTCAGTTTCTTGTGCAGGCACTCAAAAAGCATAATTTAAGCGGCTCAAGAAATCTCCGGTTTGAGATATCAAAAGCATACCTCCAGGCGAGTGAAAATTCTATAATTCATCATTTTATTTTTGTATCTAGACCTAGAATATTATCAACTCAGCAAATATTGTTGATGATCCTTAACGTTTCCAAGGGTTGTGAAAACATTAGCCGATCATCAATTATAGTGGCAATGTTGATGACCTTGAGGCAGGCAGTGGGAAAAGAGGCACACGAACNACACACACACACAACACACACACACACACACACACACACACACATAAACAATAAACACTTAGAAACAGAACATTGTAGTCTCCGCACGCTTTCACCACTGATAGTGGTCAGTGGTTAGTTATTACTCCTGAAGAATCTAAATGAATGAACGCTATCGAGGACTGCAATTTTCTTTTCTGATTAAGGCTAATTCATACAAACACATTGGTGCTGTTCTACTCGTTTTATAGCACCCTTCTTATCTTTTACAAAAACACAAAATTTCATGTAACAGAGTATCATGTAGAACGTTTTGTTGAGAAACCCTTTAGGTTAATCGTAGGTTTGATCACATTTCTCTACATGTTATTGCATATGTAGTTAGGTGGTACAAGCTTGCAGTTTAGGTCATATCCTGATGTAGAGTTGTTTTGTTCAAGACCAGATTTAAAAATTTGAATCAATAAGCACAATACAGTCAATCAACCGCCCTAGTACTCCAAAGATTTGTTCCACCGATCCTGTAGATAAAGGTATTTGATAGGCTCGCATAGCAACTGGGTTGGCGAATGCTCATTTCCACCGTGAAAACATGTCGTATTACTAGAATATTGTTTGTTTCATTTTCCAATGCCATTTGTTTAACTATGATTGCTTTTACGTTGGTAGTAACAGATTTATATTAAATTAAATTCCGCATATTTGAAAGTAAATATATTTTCCATCGTCTTTATTGGTTTGCGAGCGTTTCGGAGTGGGTTGTTTACCTGAAAAAAGCATACATTATTATATTTTTATCGTTTTTTAAGTATAACCATAAGACATAATCTGAACAAAATAACGAATTGTATAATTGTATAATTAAAAGACATACGATCTTTTGATAAATGTACACAGATAAAAATGTATCCAAACATATTTCAGAAAGAAAGTATATCGTATGAATGAAATATTTCACTTATTTTATTTGTTTGTCATACTCTCTGCCCTCTCTTTTATTTAATTGATGTGAGTGAGACACTAAAGCCAGATGACATTATCTACTGTTTGAAGATATACTGACCTATAATCAAAAATATTTCATATTTGACAGGAATTATAATTTTTGCACAGGTATTATTTGCAGGAAAATTAAACTACTCTACTTAAAAGAAAAAGGTATTTGGCAAGCTGTCGAATCAATATCAAAAACAGTAAAGCAAAATAAATACCTTATGATGTTTGTGTTGATTGAAAAATCAGTGCCAATCAGCTTCCAGTCAGAGGAAAAACCGATTATCGTCAATTTGCGTTTGTCTTAATGGATAACGGAAAATTATGTAATTAGATTATAAGTTGTGTTGAAAATGAAGTCTTTGTGAAAAACTGTTAAAGTGGATATTTGCATTAAAGATTCTGTAAACTGATTGCAATTTTTCGCGTGAGCTTTGGTTCTGTAATCTAAACATTCTATACATGTGTAACCTATAATTAAATATTCGCACCTCGATATGTTTGCGATCATTATCAATAATCGCCTATCTGACTTAATAAATAATATAACATTTCAAAACAAGGCAATAAACGGGGATAGTATTTATTACAGTCAAAAGTCAAGGAAGGATATCCAGACTTATTTCAATAGTATATATTTTACTCAATATCAACAAGTGCAATTCAGATACATACCTCTGTGTATTCGTTGTTTTTACATCAGGTAATACTTGGTGTCACGTTAGCTAGCCCAGATTTTCGTAGGACCGTGTGAAATCCATAAGCAACTTGTGATCGTATTGACGCCATCACTTTCTAACAATAATAAGCACTCAACATAATTGAAAAAAAATACTTTTGCGAGATTGCATTACCTTCAATTTAATGTAAAGATCATGATAATATAATCCAAAATATCTAGTACCAAACGATTCGATTTTGAAAAGACGTAAATTTCCGTAAAAAACGAATTTTGGCTGTTAATGTTTTGGGATCGCACAACCTTACACGTTGGGCGATGTGCGAACGATGTACGCATTGTTTGTGTACGGTAAGTGCACGAAGTATGCACGGTGTGCACACCATGTGTGCCTGATGAAAATCTGTGCAATTATAGAGTGAGCACATCTGTGAGATAGCTATCGTATATTTGTTCAATACGTATCATTGGTTGATATATAAATAAATGACTGGTATGTGAATAAATGCGATTTTGTATTAAACTTATAACTTTCCCTCCGCCTAACATGTTACCCGTTATCTGTTATTACCGATGAACTAGCACATTGTTTAAATCACTAGGCAATCGTGAAAGAGGTGTGCATTTTCCCCTCAACGCATAACAAACACAATTAGCACAGGTAAGGTTCAGTTGTGAATTGATAACCGTCAAATTATTAAGCAATTATAATCAGCTTTTTTAATTCACTATGTAGGTGTAAAGTGCTGTACCTGACCACAAGTGTATAACCACATTATAGACAAGTCTACAGCCATTGTAATAATGTGTTACATGTATAAGTATAACAAGTGCAAAATACACAAATCGGACATTAAATACGAATTCGATTAACCAGATTTCACTGGAGTCATTCTGGGTTGTTTTAATTCTAGAACATCGATCGACCGATCTTAACTATTCACACATATGTTCGCGTTTTATTGAACAACGGTTGCGATCGATAATTTTGGATCGTTGTGCGATCATAAAACTGTAATGCTTCTTTGTGGTATTTATTGTTTCTTTATAAAATGTTGATTAACACCTTTCTACAGACACACAACAAACGCCATAATTACGCTTTTTCACATCTTACGTAACAACCTAATGGGTAAGGTGACACAATGTTTGTATAGATATATAAAAAAAAAAATACAACTTCCTAAATTTACTTTTCTAGTTATCGAGATGGATCCTTGCTATTTAACACCAAAAAGCAGGAATGTCCAAGTAATTAAAGGTGAAAATGTTGTTAATCTTTGACAAAAGACTTTGCGAATTTGAAAAACATAAGGCTTACATTTCGGCGTATTTCATTTATGTGGAACAGATGCTGTCTATGAACACGTATCATTGTAAGAACTTCAATATAATAAAAGTATAAGATGTAATCACCTTGTGCTGACATTCCCCGAACTGCCTCATTATGGTAAGTTATCATTGTAACCGAACATCTGTATCCATAAAATCTTCTTACCTGTTCTGAATGTAAAAACTGTTTCTTGTAAAAGGTGATATTGTTGATTTTCTTATGAAATCATAAGAAGACGTACATGGGGTTTCACCTTCAAAAATAAGGTAATTGACACAGTATGACGAAATGAAATTACACTGCACAATAGAGTTTATTTTCTTCCCTCAATAACTCATTAGCAATACTAATGGGCGGAAACTTCAAACTGGTCTTATCTACTGTTGAAACAGATGGAGAGTTGCAGAAAACCTCTTATTCATGAATTTCAAAAATATACGAGTACTGGTCAATTTCAAAAAAAATAAAGAGTAAATCGTGTCGATAATTAACTGTCATGTGAAACATCTATTTTCATACTTACACGACGCAAACTAACATTGACGTCACAGTTGCTTTCATGGCTGTTGGACTGTAAGACTTCCCCTAAATTACGGTCTTCCTCAAGTCAAACGAGTCATTAAAAAATATAACGTTATACAGACATCAAAAACATGCCCAAATTAATGTGATTAAGTATGCTGTAGAATAAAATTCGTGTTTGTTAACGTTTCCTTAAAAAGCGATCTTTTAATCACATAAAATAATTTCATATATTTTCATACCTACATACTCACGTGTACGTCTTCGCATTGAAGTCATTTGGCGCTGGATGTTGTCACATCAACAATAGGTGAGTAGATAATGCATACATCACACTTAAGCCATGCCTGTGTAACTGCGGGATTTCCCCTAAATAACTGTCTAGCCTAATAGAAATACCAGGCAATGCAAAACAGTGCATACATACAAGCAATAAAAGTGAGACGAAAGGTTTTGTATGTGTGCATGTAGCTGATTGTCTTATCAAAGTATAACATATTGCCATGAAAGACAGTTTCATATCTTTTCAAACTTACATGCGAAAACTTACCTGGACGTTTGCCCTTAATCGTGTAGGTCATTTTATCTTGGTTATTGCCATAAAATCAATAGATTCGTAGACAATGCTTACACCGCATTTTTAGTCATGCTTGTGAAATCGTGTGACTTCTCCTTAAATACTGCCTTGCTTTAGAATAATAAAGAATATCACAAACATCGAAATATTAATGTGACACGAGTACTCCACCAAGGAACGATTTGAGCATATATATTGCCATTATTGGCAGATTTGCATAATAGAAAATATCCAAAGATACCTCGCATTTCAGATAATTATTATTATTTAGTTTTAATAAAGTCGAATGGATGCGAAATCAGGCCTTGGTGCATAACTGATCTGCAAAGAAACATTTTAGAAGAAAGTTTGTGATTATGTATGTGAATACATAATACTAATACCTGTGCTTGTTAGCGTTGTTTTAGTGGTTGATGGAATCGGCATAGTTGTAGCTCCAGTTGTAGATCCAGGCGTTGATCTTGTACTAGAGGTGAACGCTTTAACAGAAAGTAATTTGTTACGATTCACTAAAAAAATCATTCTGCAGACTTCGATGCAAAGGTAATAAGTACTCCATCACATATCGAGTGAGCTTCGTAAAACAAATATTTATACCTCATCCATCTTTTATTCAAACGTGAATGATGGGGTTTATAAAACCTCACGACGTCATAAAATATCAAATTACCGTCAATTTCAACGATCACGTAGGCATATAGTTCGATCCTGTTAAAATGACGATCACTGTGTATATGCCTGGGTTCTATTTATTCACAAAGTCTCAACGTTTAGCCTGCTGGCAATCTTCAGAATTTCTGAGCATCACACTATTTGAAAGATCAATACTGAATGTTATAGAATCAAGATAGCGTCGTTTACTATTTTCTACCAAATGTGTCTAAATGTTCAATAACATCATGACAATCACAACAACGAAAGACATTTTATAATTCACAGGAGCTTATTTTGCTAACCTGCATGTTCTATTCGAAAATTTGAGTTCATTTCAATTTGTGAAAAACAAATATTTGAAATTTTCTTACGAATAGATCATCATTGATTTGTAAACTTTAATCAACCAAAAAAACAGTTTATAAGCAATTTTATTATAAAGATATACTGATAGAGCATATCCCTGAAGTATATATTATATCCGAAAACATAACTTATACCTGACGTCGTTGTCGTAGGTACTTCGGTTGTGGCAGATGTTGTCGTTTCTGTGAATTCAAATGATATTATTTTAACGGAGATTTACTATCGCAAAATAAAACCTACAACTCACACTCTCATTTTCATGTGATGCTGGTTCAGTTGCAACTAAATGTATTGTGGTATTTTAGAATGACTTTGCATCATCTGTAGACTGTATGTTGACATCCAGAGGAATGGCAAATGGAAAAAAATGTTCGTAACGTCACTTTTACTTTTCGAAATGGTGATATGTTTTTACAAAGTTCTATAATTTTGTGCATTGGTTATAACAAGTATTGAAGACATGCATTACAAGTGTCAATCTCTTCCAGAGATAAAAATGAATATTCCTATAAGCAAATGATACAACTAGTTTATTGTGATACCAAAACAGTAACATTGGGTCAGACGTGTGCATGCTATGGCTTGAAGGCCTTTATGATTTGTGTACCTGTCTGCTGCAACGGGACACTTTTTTATTTTTTCACGAGAAGCTACTAGTGTTAAATATCCGACTTGCAATGGCATTTCTGAATTAGCTGACCTCATTTTCTATAATGAACATTACAGAGAATACATATATATTTTGCACTGATTCCGACTGACTTCAAAACATATATTTTCATAGTGCTCCTACTGATATGTACGTACCTGGCTTGATGCAAAGCTCCAAGTCTAAGTTAACCTCTAAAGACCTTGTACTAGTGGTTGTGGTTCCATATGGTGTCTCTAGCAGTGGAAGTTGTATCTCAATTACTATAATGACAACGTCGCTTACTGTTTCTGTCGACGACCAGAATGAAACTTGGTTCGGCCCAGTTCCACTCTTTGTCTTTTCCACCGTCTGATAACGTAAGAATAGTGTATATTTTGATAAGTCCTCTATTTTATACGAAGATAAAAGGCAACGGACATTAGAAATAGTATGTATATATGTTGAAATTTAAGAGTGTCTTTTTCTCTCTTTCTTGTAAGCTTATGACTGTATTTTAGAAACATAGCCAATGCTTTTAAATTTTCTGAAATATACTAACTTCTGTTCTTTCGTATGAATAACATTTTAATAGGTTACGTACCACTTGTTTTGACGGGTTTTCTTCACCAGGTTCATTGACTTTCATGATAACATCAGTTGGCTGGGCGCTCCCTTCAAAAGCAATCGCTATCCTGGAAAATATTGATGGCACCTTACTGACAGGTGACACAGGCGTCGTCGAACCGACAGGTGACATAGCTGGTACCGGTATTTCGATNGAGTGATGTCAATGCTCTCTTCAGTCGTTGTGCCACCTTTCTCTGTGGTCGATATGGTGATTGGAATCGTTGGAAAATAATCGGTAGCATTCATCATATTTTGCTTCGGGCATATAGGTGTTGTAGTTGAGGAAGGAACCGTTGTTTGCGTAGGCGTGGCAGTTGTGGAAATCACTGTTAAACAAAGAAATACAAATATAATCAAGCACGTAATACATAATGTATATTTAAGCCTAATCATCATCGTGATAGAGAATTAAACCACTCATTGATCTATATGATCTGCAACAACATTAGTTATTCTTCAAGGATTAATACAAACATGAGTGTCCATGTAAGCCATTAAAAGAAAATCAAATTAAATTACTTAAAAATCATTTGATGAGATCGATTATCAGTTAAGAGCAACTTAACAAATTGGCACGTTGTTTTAGGAAAACAAAGAATCAAGCAAATGTGTTAAATAGTTAGTTTTCGTTTAATCTTAGCAAAGATGTAACTGATTTCGTTGCATTGTTTTCAAATGTCTGAATTATGTATCGAGTTATGTCCCTTGACCGCGGTTAAGCTTATTCGTTATTCATAACATCATACTTGTTTGTGCAGATGTTTTGGTGCATCAGCAGAAACAAATATTTGTTTCGACGTCTAAGATTCTGTTGATGCTGGTAAACAATCCATTTGTGATACGAGCAATGGATTCACGTCAGATTGTTCAAAGCAATAACACGTAAACTGTTTTCAAAGAATATATTATTGTCAAAGAGAATACGTGCTTAGTTCAGTTAGTTGAAAATAAAACTGCCATGTTTTTATTGTAGCACAAAGCCAGAAAGACCTAAATGTGGATTTACATTGCATCAATGGAATTATATGCACGCTTGGTATTGGTGCATCTTTGTTGATTTACATATGTAACAAATAGTAATATTTTCAAGAAAGCAACACATCATTAAGTTGTTTTATAGTAAAACAAATTCACTTCAGTTTATTATATAGTGGTATGCAGTATGTACACGAAGGTAAGGTGCAAACATATCATTCTAAAACGATAATGTACCTGACATCGTTGTCGTTGGTAATTCGGTTGTGGCAGATGTTGTCGTTTCTGTGAATTCAAATGATATTATTTTAACGGAGATTTACTATCGCAAAATAAAACCTACAACTCACACTCTCATTTTCATGTGATGCTGGTTCAGTTGCAACTAAATGTATTGTGGTATTTTAGAATGACTTTGCATCATCTGTAGACTGTATGTTGACATCCAGAGGAATGGCAAATGGAAAAAAATGTTCCTAACGTCACTTTTACTTTTCGAAATGGTGATATGTTTTTACAAAGTTCTATAATTTTGTTCATTGGTTATAACAAGTATTGAAGACATGCATTACAAGTGTCAAT